ACCATCAAATTTGGCTTTCAATTGTCCTGTCTTAACATCCCATAAAAGGATAGACTTATCCTGACTACCAGATGCTAATATAGTACCATTAGGAAAGAAGCATACTGATTGGACTGAATTATTATGCCCATCCTGTTAAGCTTTTAATTTTATTGTCCTTGCATCCCATAAACGGATAGACTTATCTTCACTACCAGAGGCTAATTTTGTACCATCAGGAGAAAAGCATACTGAAAAGACCGTATCACTATGGCCCTCCAATCTTACTTTTAATTATCCTGTCTTAACATTCCATAAACAGATAGATTGATCCTTACTTCCAGATCCTAATATAGTGCCATCTGGAGAAAAACATACTGATTGCACATAATCAGTGTGACCATACAATTTGGCTTTTATTTTACCTGTCTTTACATTCCATAAACGCATAGAATTACCATAAATACTGGCAGATACTAATAAAGTACCATCAGGAGAGAAACTTATGGAGTTGACTCCATAGCTATGACCCTCGAATCTGGTTTTTTATTTTCCCTTCTTAATATCCCATAAACGAATAGAGTCGTCTCTACTACCAGCAGATGCTAATGTAGTACCATCAGGAGAGAAGCATATCGAGTTGAATCCATCACCAAAACTAATCAATTTGTTTTTTTATTGTCTTGTTCTAATGTCCCATAATCGAATAGACTTATCCTTACTACCCGATGCTAATGTAGAACCATCAGGAGAGAAGTATACTGATTCTATTTAATTAGTATGACCATCCAATTTAGCTTTTATTTTTCTGGTCTTAACATCCCATAAATAGATATAGTTATTCTTACCACCAGATGCTAAATTAGTGCCATCAGGAGAGAAGCAGACTGAGTAGACAATACTAGTATGACCATCCAATTTGGCTTTTTATTATCCAGTCTTCACATCCCATAATCTGATTGAGTTATCATCACTACCAGATCCCAAAGTAGTACCATCAGGAGAGAAACAGATTGAACGAACAGCTTTAGTATGGCCCCCTAATTCATTCAATTCATGTATTTTCATATTTTTCCAATTACAATTAAACAATTATGATTCATTCAAATTTGTCCCACTCATATCTACATTATCAAATATGGAACCATTAAAATTGCATCTCATTAAATTAGCTCCAATTAGAGAAGTATTCTAAATTTATATATCTTCAAAAAATTAATATCTTAGATCAACCTACATCTCGACTAATAAGTGAAATGAATTTGATCCGCATTCTATGAATTCGCTATCAATAGCTGTGAGGGAAACTAAAAATTTTAAAAAGTATATAATTTTCTTATTCTTGGCAATTTCCTTTAGAACATATTGTTTATTTTCTAAATAGTTTTTAGATGAAAAATTAATCTTATTAAAGTCATGATTCTTAATTAATT